CTTAGTTACGGGACATAGTTACAAACAAAGTTTTTCACTATTATAGTTTAGTTAAACACAGTAGGTATGTATGTGTGTGTAATAGCTATCTCCATTTAGTTTCAAAAACTAATTTGTTCAAAGGAAAAGTTTTTATTTTTCAGTTTGTAACTCTATAGTTGTGTAAGTAGGTTTTAGGTGTTTAAAGTTAAAATTCCATGATTATGATCAAAATATTGTTTTAATACATTTTATTTATTTGATATATTATTAAATGAACATCTATACTAATATTATAAAGAGGAAAAATTTGTAAGTTTGTATGTAGGGAGTAATCTTTCGAACCGCTGGTCGGATTGCCAAAATTCTTTCACTGATAGATAGCTACAATGTTCCTGAGTGCTATAGGCCATAAAACATCACGCTACGACTAAATGGAGCTGAGCAGCGGGTGAAACCGCGCGAGAGTAGCTAGTACATAATATTATCATATGATAGTTATTATCAATCTGCATCGCCCATGAACAACATCGAAGAGTTATAGGTAAAAGTACATTATCGGTCATTGTGCCTCCGGTAACCACATTCGCATGGAGTCAACAACATGGCGTTGTTTCACGCCGGTAAAAGTACTTGCAAAGTCGAGTCCAATAATAACATTGTATAAGAAAGTTAAACAAAACATAATCACTAATAATTCGTCGCCATCTTTAGTCCATAAACTAACTCATAATAAATACTAACTATAATAACCTAACCTTTAATTCTGGATTGATCAAAGTTTCAAACAGAAACTCTTTGGAACTAAAACGTCAATAAAGACCCAAAGACATTGAGATCGGTAATATTGGCCATAAACCAGTAAGGGATTACTCAGCGCTCTCTATAAATGAAAATCTTGAACAAGTGTATAAAATGTTAGTATAGAATATTTACTGGCCACGGTACAAACGTCCAGTGACCTCACACCCTGCACTGCAAGGAGCCATAAACATGTGCACTTTATACCAAGTTTCACTTCGAACGTACTGCAATTTATTGGGTTCATAACCTGGGAATATTGTTTTCTTTACAATCCATAAGTAGCGTAGGTGTACAAGAAAAATGTATTTTATAGTAACATTATTAAAGGTCATTTCAATAGAGCATTTTTTTTTAATATTGGATATTGTCAATCGGTTTTGGGTTTCTACCTATCTGACCAAGAATCTTTTTTGATAATGGGGGAAAAGCCAAGCTGCGGTAAGAATGGGTCGGATCGATCGGAGTGATACTTCGGCCTCACAGAAAACTGGCGGGAAACAGCAACAGCGTTTTGTTTCGCCATGTGAGTAAGGTACTAGAGGCCCAATCCTTTCTTTCCCCCCTTTCTTTCTGAGTAACTTCTCTGGTTTAACGGGTGTCCATGGGTAGCGCTTATTGCTTACCATCAGGTAATCCCTCTGCTCGTTTGCCGACCTACCAAGTAAAAAAAAGACACATTTTACATTTAAGGATTTCTTTTATCTGATACTTAACATATTGTTTGTCTATGTGACTGAGATGAGCATAATTCCCAACTGGGTTCAAATTTAGAACGTCTCCTTTTTAACAACCTTTATAGGTAGGTCGTACAAAGAATATCACTTAAATGGCTTATCACTCATCATCACATTATCGACAAATAAAATACAGATTATAATCATATTTCTCTTTACTAGTCTCAAGGAAAACTAAGCATAACATGTTATCCAAAATCGAAACACATCCTTGACGCCTTTGTGTAAATTTCAACGTGACATGTGACGTCACAACTTCCCTAAGTAGGTGGGTTTACATACATGCGGTAAGTAAGTAGATAGGTACCTAGGTATAACATAAATAATGATAGCTTCAGTAACAGGTAGCCGGGAGCCATGATATTATTGATAAGCTGTCAACGAGTGACGCTTCGTTATCTGTGGGCTCGCAGGATTGTAGTGTCTATGTTCAAAATGGCGCGAAATTAGGCTATTGTTTATGCGTAGATGTGTATAGTTGAGAGATAAGTGTTTTATTTATAAGTTAGAACTGTTTTAAAGTCCAAGTCTTCTTTTAAAAAGGTTGGGTAATTAATTTTATTTATATTATATTTTGTATAGAAACGTAAAATGTTCATTGACTCTTTAGACTCTTTTTCGAAAATATTTGTAACTTTGATATAATTTCATTACTTCAGTAGTTCTCATGCTTTATGACAATGATATTAAAAGTAAAATGATGTAGATAGGCTACCTAAACAAAATTCGATTTTCAAAAATGACACGCTTATACACACATGAACAATACGGTTGTTACCAACTAGTCAAATCAATACTTTTATCCAAATGTCAAAAACGATACTTTTCTATGAAATTTGTATGAAACATTGATTATGACGTCATAGCATTTTTGCGCCAAATAGCTTACTTATTTTTAAAAAATTAGCTAAAAAATATCTAAAACTTAGTGTATCGATCGATCGATGAATAAAAATATAGTTATTTTTCAATATTTTATCGTATTACAACGTCGAATTAATTTATTTTTGACCTAGGAAACTACCCAATTCGTATGTTTAGACGTCAAAGTGAGATGGCATGATTCAATAATCGCGAGTGAAAAAGAGATAAAATATGAAAAAAGTGTGGCTATTCAGCCATATTTTAATGTATCACTTGCTGAGCGCTTATAACCTATTTACACCTTTTTACTCATTGCTTTATGCTTTATGACTTGTTTTTTAAGCGTCGAAATTTGAATGTCGTTATCATCTGTCGCAGAAATCATTATATCTGGATAGCAAATTCTGTCTATAAGATTTCTAGACATAATTCTTAAAATCTGATGAGTTATGATATAAGAGGTGATCAACAATAACGCTTTCACGGCAAATCTATTAAGTATTACATCACTACTTATTGGAAGTATTATTAAAGTATACTGTCCAACAATATACGGAAAAAGAAATATAGATATATTATATGTACTTTATTACTTATCGTTATAATATCTTACCATTTCACCTTCAGAAGGATATGCTACCAAACATTCCTTTTCATAATAAAAATTGTCATCGATAACATTTAGAGAAACATTTTTGATAATAAATGGCTGTGGAAGAGCACCTGTGTCACTTCTAACCATTGTGCGTATGTGTATGTGAGTGTCTGTGCGTGTGTGTGTGTGTGTGTGTGTGTGTGCGTGACAATCAATAAGTATTATAATAATATCAAAATGATTCTATGCCTCGTTCAATCTGAACAGGTGACGTCACAACCCCAAGCCTCGTTTGCATTACAATAAGAAAATTCGGATGTAAGTCTCCAAGCTTTTTGTCCGTCATCAAATTCATTCCCAATAATGCGAGTTGTGTGTCGTTTGGAGATTGTATTGTTATATTTCTTGGCTCTTTTGTTAGGTAATGGATGTTTGGGGACGTGATTTTTATTAAGTGCAAATGTTTAGTGTGGATGTTTGGCTGTTGATTCGAATGTTATTGGAATTAAAACTTAGCGAAAGCTTACCTAAATCTCATCTTAATCTGCATAGCAGTTATGGTATGATTGCAATGATTACAAACATTTAATTGACATATTATAAAGTCTATGTACTTAACAAAAAAATTGCTCCAGGTGGATGATTACGAGATTAATAATTATAAATAAGTTAGGGTCTGTCTAATGTCTATCGATCAGTATTTTATTGGATAAAGCTAGTTGCTTTTGGTTTAAGGCATAACAAATATACCTTTCTTTACCATTTTAAATGCACGTCGGCGGGCGGCGAAACCAAGAGTAGTTTGCTGTCCAAACGGAACCAGATCCGAGCGTATGAATAACGCGTTCTGCAGATGACTCAAGTAGCTATCCGACCACCTCACATAGGGCCCTTAGGACCTAAATCCAACCAAATTTGTGAGCAAACGCAATTTTATACCCTAAGCCGGTATGGAGCAGGAGAAGGAACGAGGTTTTTTAAGTCAGTAATAGCCTCTATATACCGCCCTTCCCTAGGCGGGGAAAACATATACTTATATGATTTTCCGTTCACATAAAAGTATGCCTATCTTCTGATTACTTAGTGTAGCTAATAACTATAAAATCTATAAAATTGTAGGCAATTCCCTGGTATGTAAAACTTTATGTACTGCCTAGAAGGCCTTAAGCTTTACTGGAATTAAAATTTCAATGTATACGAGTAGGTTGGAGCAATAAATGCAGTTTGTAAGGCGAGCGCTCGACAATGCAATATTCTTTTTCCTTATTACGCCTTGAAGATGTGTTGTATCGCTAGATTGCTTTCGTTTTTCTTTAATATGTTATTGTGCTTGGTCTACCTACTAGTTTTTTTGTGATATTGGAGCGTAAACGTGGTTTTTAATTGTGGTAATTCGAGGCACAATAGTACCTAAGACGACAGGTGCGCGAACGCCGTTGTTAGTAGAAGTCTGTATTTGTTGATTTCTTTTTGGTTATAGGTTTATGTTTTCTGAGTTAAATTGCGCAGAGCCAGCCACATAAGGACATGCGACAAGAAATAAATATAGAATGATCATTATTTTTCGTATTTTTTTATGGTATAAGTCGGCAAACGAGCAGACGGATTACCTGATGGTAAGAGATCGGCGCCGCCCATGGACACCCGCAACACCAAAGGAGTTACGAGTGCGTTGCCGGCCTTTTGGGGATGGTGGTTGTGGATATAAGGATTGGGAAGGGGAGGGATTGGGCCTCCGATAACCTCACTCACACGGCAAAACACAACGCTGTGAGTTGTTTCACGCCGGTATTCTGTGAGGCCGTGGTGTCACTCCGGTCGAGCCGACCCATTCGTATTAATGAAGTTCCTAATAGGTAGTGTAGTATCAGTATCATTTAACTTTTCAGTAACATAAATGTGATCTGAAGCCTAGCATAGGAGGCATAGCCAAGGATTTATTTAATTGCAAGAAATGTAATAGGATGTACTTAATGCCGCAGGTATTTTTGCTAGCCAACTTTTAGGTGACGCAGGGAGAAAACATGGTCGGTACAACAAAGTAAAAGAAAAAGGCTATTGTACCTTAAAATAATCTTCCAAAAATCAAAATCCTCCAAAAATGTACATTTGTGTTTATTTATATGCTAACAAGTTGATAAGATACAAGTGCACAGGTAATGAAAAAGTAAAATCCCAAAAGGTTGGAGTCCAAGTAAAATAGGTTTATCTCTTAATTAAACTTTCACGTTAATCTAGAATTTTGCTACTAAGTTTTTTTTGGTGTTTATTCTCCTCCCAAATTACCTTACCAGAAAAAACAATCTAAGTCATTATTTATTTGAAAAAAAAGTCATACTAAGTCGATCCTGGACATGATCACCGTCATCATCATACATAGTATTAGTATTAATAACAATACGTCCTTTGCTGAACACTTAAACATATGCATTATCCAATCCCTTTTAGTTTGGAGCTCGAATCCATGATGGCGGATGCTCGAAGCCACCTACAATCAGTTTTTCCTTTCAACCTTTATCTGGCCTTGTGATAATGATACGATGTGGTCAATATTCATAATCTGAATAAATATTTCATTTCATTTAAAAAACCAGAAAGCTAGTTTGTATCCAATGACGTATTATATATAGACACGTCATGAACCAACATTGCGGCGCTTAAAAACGGCGAAAATACTAGATAACTACTTCTACTAGTAAAGAAAGGGAAAGGAAATATGACATCGTATAGTGGAATGCCTTTGCTAGAGGGAGATAAATATACATCTTCAGTTACATCACAGGATAAGTAATAATAAAACTACATTTTCATAAGATGGCCGCCATAAGATGGCTGGCGCCGGCGTCGAAAAAAATAAAATAAAAATAGGTTGTTTGGTGAACTTACACATGAAATGACACATTTTTGTCTTTAACTTTTGGAATATTATTATTGGATAATTTGTACATCGTCTGAACACACACGACGGCATGCTTTACTTATGTTTCGCACAGGTTTACACACACGATATAAATTAAAAACAAACGTAGCGTCGCGCGGCAGGTTGGTGCGTAACTAAGCGCGATGTTGTCAATTGCCTTCATTTCATGTTGTCATTTTAGAGCGCGGACAACGTATCTATAGATTTATACATCATTGTTTGTATCTACATTAGCTTTGTTTCGCTGTATGAGTGAGGATACCGGAGAGCCAAACCTTGTCTTCTCCATAATGCCTTCAACGCTTATGTAACCCTTCGATATCGCGGGCGTCCATAAGTGGCGTCGATTGCTTACCTGGTGATCCATAATATATTATGCTAATATGCAGACCTAATCCATAAAAAACAATTATATTACTACTTATCGACTTTGGTAATAGTCTCGCAACCCTGATTGCCACGATACTTCTAATTGCTATATTATATAGCTTATTAATGTAATATTCTTTTTGTCAACAGCTCTCGGGACATAATGAGACTGGTGGTGCCCGGTTGTGTGAACGACGCGCGCAGCATACCAGCGCTGCGCGTGTTCGTGCTAGCATCAGCTATGGCGCTCTATTTGACTATGGGTAAGTTGTCAATTTTTGTAGTCAGATTAAATACATACATACTTGTGTATCGTGGCCTGTCGTTTTCGCCAGAACATCCCCGTTTTCATACAACTGAACGGCATGCGGCACGACACGCAAGTTTATCTCTAACCATAGGAAATACATGAAACCACAATAATAATATATTTCCGCTTTTATTCGTTCCATGGGTTAAATTACCTTTTTTGTGTGGGATTTGTCATTTATTTGGAACATTGTAGAACATAATCAGCAAAATAAATCGTTGAATAAAAAATTATTTTCGTAGTATTTTAAAACATATTTTTGAAATGATGACGAATAGGTAAACTTTGATAAATCAATATTAATAATAAATACAATAAATACACATAGCTAAACGGGGATCGTTGGGAGCTTGTAAAGTATTGAGTATTGAGTATTGAGCTTCTGTCTGTCTGACTGTCGACAAGTCGCCATTCGCATCTTGTGGCTCCTCGCGACTCTACTCTCGAGTTCGTCGGTTCCCTCGCTACCTTCTCCTAAGTAGGCTACGTACCTCCTCACTTAGGTACATTAGGAAATTAACCGCACGTTACATACATTTTATTCTACTTACTTCCATTTATTATTTAACTAAGTACAAAGTTATTGCGTCTCAAGTCTTAATCCCATGGCAGCAAATATGACGCGGGTCGAGGCCCCACACAAAACACGCGTTAGCTCTTGTTTTAAAATGTACGGGTAAATGTAATTAAATGTTTGAAAAAAGAACATGAAGCTTTGTTACTTCATCAACAATTTTTTTTTTAATTCGTTGACTGCAAGAGCATTTGTTGATAACTGTTTGTGGTTTAGATTCAGAGTCCAAGGAAATGTATGTGCGAAACTATTTGATTGACATATTTTTCGAAAAAAAAAAACTATTTTCTTAACAGCCACTTTTAAAGGAGTCACAAAAAACAAAAAGATAAAAGAAACAAATATCTAAGTACTTATTACATTTGATATTTAAAAATAACCTGAAACAATCTTAAAACATTTTTATAATTTTGTTTGAAATGTTATAAATCTGTTCGTTGTTGAGAAGTTCTCAGTGTTTCTCATTTCTTTAACAAAATTACCTTTTGATATCAAATCTTTGTTGTGTTCTCGCATTTGTTTGAAGAAATCCTTCGTAACTATGTAATCTGTGCATAAGTAATTAATCGTTCAGTTCCTTTTTTTGCGATATTTTTACCTGTTTGCTTTATGGGATAGATGATTATACTTATTTTTTAATTGCTAAATTAGAGAAACCTGTACCTACCTATATTTAAAATTATATTTATTAAAAAAAAATGAAAGGCGTGTAACAAAAAAGGTAATTGTTTCAAAAAATACTCAATTTTTTTATATAGGTATTAGAGTAGGTACACAAATACGTACGCATTGCGAAGCTGTGGGCTGTTAAATATTTAATAATAAATTAATGTTTTTAGTTCGATTTATCTCCTGCAGTAAAATATTATTTCGTTTGAGTACATTTTTATCTGCAGACTGGGCGCATTACTCTTGAATATCGTATTATGCAGTGCAGATACTTACTCGTTTATAGCAGTGCCTAATGTATTACTGGTACATGAGCTGAATAAAGAGATTTCAAATCTGATTTTTTATTTTAAAAGTGTAAACGTAATATACCAACTTTGGTTTTTGTTTACCAAAAAAAGAAATAAAACCTCTTTGGTTTCTTTATGATAATAAATAAGGTTTTATTATCTGTTAAGATCTTTGCGAGTAATACAATACTTAGATATTACTAAAAGTTGGTGTCTTTGTTAACGTCGTCTACAGTAGGTCTTCTTGTTAGCTAAGTCGATTACGAAGATTACGTTACAATGCCAAATAATATCTGAGTTACTAAAATACTAATTTTATTAAACAAAAATAACATTTTTAATATTTATAAGTATTAAATGCAGGCATAAAAGGAAACTGTAATTTATAAATTAAATAAAGAAAAATATGAATAGAGACCATTGTTTTCGATTTTTAAAACGAAACAAATGATTGATAATTCCAAAATGGCCGATCGAGTAAATCCTCAGTAATCGTTTGTCTTTCGAATAAAGGCTGGCGGGCCGTCAGCTTAAATAATAAATAGAAAAACATTTCGTACAACTTTGCCAATGAAAGTCAAGTCATATTAGTCTGTATTTATTCGGCAAATTGCTTTAGATTGAGTGCGGTTTGATTGTTTTGGTTTATCACAAATTAATTAACGATGACTGGCTGGTTGGAGACTAATCCTTTGCGCCGAGACTCAACGCGTTCCAGCGGATTATATTTTAGTGAACCTCTTTTAATTTCATTTTAAATAATAATATACATTGAAATTTATATAACAGGGAATCAAAGACGCGGCTTTAAGAAAAAAACTTTTAAAGCGATATCTCATTTCTTAGGTATCAGAAAATCGTCTGAAGTATGTAGGTAGTTTTATCACGAACGAAAGATTTTCCGCTGAGCGACGCAGATACTTATTAAAGACATCTTCAGAGACATGTTCAAAGCTTAGCTGGAAATAAACTAAGCTTTTAACCCTTTAGAAAATATTGCGTGTATGAAACAATATTTTCGCTTCTTATATGGCATATTAAATAAATAAAATATGTTAATGTAAATAAAGGCTTAACTGTTTAACGAGATAATCCGACTGGTCTCAAGATGCGCTAGGGGCTTGGCCAGTAAAGTTATCCCGTCAAATAAGTACCTAGTTACGTGGACAAGCAGTTAAACATAGTATTTTTCATTCTAAATAGGGTTTATGTAATGTACCCAAATCGGAAGTGTTTGGATGAGAAGAGCTGAACATCGAGCTCAGTGGCGTGCAATTGGGGAGGCCTATGTCCAGCAGTGGACGATAACAGGCTGATGATGATAATGATGATGAAATCGGAAGTACACCGATAATATATATCTACCTACATTATTGTATTTCTAAATTAAAAAATAAACTCTAACGGCCTTATTACAAAACAATTTTTCTTTAGTCTAGGTCTAAAGCTAAACCATAGAGCTAGTTTTTTGTCTTCAAATATAACGTAGATGTGAATAACATTCCAAATACAAAACCTGACTGCTTATTTTCTAATTATTCGACTCGAAAACAATACATTTACACTGATTACATGTCATTTAACTATCTACAAGTATAACTATAACAACAAAATAAACAAAGAATATACTTATGGTTCTATTATATTAAATTTAATGTACCTACTTCAGAAGAAAAACAACTTTTCCTATTATCATGACGCAACCTTTCTAACACACGCTGTGATTACTTACATTATTTACTAACTTCGTATTTATACACAATACATAGCTAAACTTATATATATGTCGCAGTCAGATTGTATGATACGCCGTATTACACTTTGACTAGCTGATATCAAAAAACAGGGCTGTTTTGAAATAAAGTGGTTCAAGGAATAACCGGATAAAACACAACCAGATTATTTTTGAAAAACAATATTGAAACTTACCTACTCCAACTGAGTTATCGGGCCTGGGAGGATATCAGGCTGATTATGATGATCATAATACCTACAGGGCTATATGGATAAGTAAGGTTAGGTTAGGTTAGAAATGTGACCCTTTAAGTAACATAAAATATGTCGTGATCAATAATACTACTACAATTTAAACGTGGGGCGCCTTGTGGAGAACGCTTCGCAATGACAATCTGGTTGAACCGCAATATTTCAATACGGCCCTGTTTTTTAATTAACAGCTAGACGTAATGTAATATGGCGGATTATACAAAGTGACTGCGACATAAACATTTTGGGACAACGACAATGTGACATTATTGATAGCTTTATTAAAATGTATGTAGGTGACGCCAACGAAAATTACTTAGATACGTAAAATATACGTACATAGGTATACTTCAAAACAGTCTGTCGAATGAGTTCGGAAAAAAAATGGCGCTGACGCGTAGCTTATTGGGTTTTGTTAATAGCAACGAGTTGTCTGATAGATGATGCCTTGTGTTATTAGTCTTAAAAAAATATTGACTTTTTTTTTAAACTGAGTCATAAATTATTGTAGAACACAGCAATAAAAAAGTTTACATAGGTACATATTATATTAAATATGGATTTGAATTCGAATATTAAAATAAAAGTTTAATTTTTTTAAATTAAATTAATTTTTAACAGTTTGTAAATGTGCATGTTTTAGATAAATTAATAGGTATATTATTATTTATTTTTATACGTCTCTTGTAAAAAATATATGTATAAGAAGCACCGTCACCCAACCTTTTTCTTAAAACCTGGCATTTTACATTTTATCCTAGAGATACAAATTCAGAACGAGATCGAATTTTAAAATAAAATTATCGTCAAATCGTGTTCTTGAAGTTTGCAGCAACGCAATACGATCACTGATAGCGAAGATTGCAATATTGTATTTCAATATCATTTTACATTTTTTGTATTTTTTTACATTTTGCCAATATTTTTATCTTAAAATATACTGTAATATTTTGTTTATTCTCTACAGACTCACATTTGATTAATATTTGAATATGGTATTTACTATTTGTAAGTTTACAAAGGTTTATTTGTCAAACAATATTTTTTTTTACAATAAGAATGACTAGGTGGGTGTATTTCATTTTTTTTAAAGTGATCTGTTTTCTAACAGGAGCATCAGTGTTCCAAGCCATCGAAAGCCCATTGGAGCAGAGCATCGCTGAGAAACTCGATCAGCTCAAGGCGCAATTCCTCCAAGACCATCCGTGTGTCACTGGTGAGTTTAAAATTTCAATTATTTAGTAAAGAAAAATGAAATTGCATTTAAAACATCGACTTTGAAAGTTAAAACTGTAAGTAGCAATTAAATGAATATTATTGACTGGCTGTTATAGTATGTTAGCTTTAAAATTTACTAATAAAAATAACAGAAGTTTTGTTCCATGACTAATATCTATTACTTCTTTACTCTTTAACTAATGTCATTTATAGAACAGCAGTTGGAAAGGGAAACAAAATTGACGATCTTTTGCCTGCAATTTATCCACATTTTCTCATTATTTTAATCTTCCCTGAACATCAATTAGGTACTTAATATGGTTCAGCCGCTCTTGAGTTTAAGCGAGACTAACAAACATACTTTTTTATTTAATGTTTAGGTTTTTTTGTCAATCTTTATTTAAAAGAGCTTATTTGCAATTACAAATATGACGCTCCCTACACAAAGCAAAAATTAGCTGCTTTTAGGTTGTAAGTCTGTACCCTTTACGGTCTAATAAAACTCATTGTGAAGTTTGTTAAAACATTTCACTATTAATTTTTGACATGTATCTCTAAGAAAATTACTAATATAACAGAATAGTGTTGTTACGGGCAATAATTGGAGTATGCTCAACCGAGGAGCTTGCATGAATAAATAGTACATAAAGCGAGAGAGGTTCATACATATGCCAGTAACGTACTAATTGGAGTTCCATTGTCTCTGATTTGAAATGTCACATCTCTACGAGTATCGGATCCTGCAATGTATAGTTATGTAGGTACAAAAGTAAACTAAAATAGGTAAAAAGAATTTATTATCTTTGGTTCTTAAGTTAATTTCAGTCTCAAGAAGTCTTAATCTATACCTATTTGAAAAAAAAACCTAGTTAGCCTTTAACCTTCTCCGTGCTGATAACTATGTATGAAATATTTCTAGAAGTTTGTTGAAGTCTCGGGTACTCATTAATACGAAGATCAGTGGGTCAGTTTACAGACTGATTTATTTATTTCTCTTAAACACGCAATTTCTATTGACGTAGGTACTTATACTACGCAATTTAACAAATATCTTCATAATACACTCGGACTGAATTTCATAATCGATTTACGTCAAAAACCACGCGCAACTAAACGTGTAGGGCACAGATTACTATAAACTAGCCAGAGAGTGTAAGGTTAAAAGGTTAACAGTCACAGATTATAAATACCTAATGTTGTAATTCCCGCCATAAGTAGCGAACTAAAGTCTAAGTTAGTGATTTGGGCCGGACCTTAGACAGTCCAATCATGTAAAGAGGTACAAAAATTTAGCTAAACCAGATTTTTCTTTAGCTTTTATCAGATGAATAATGACTTACAATTATTTAATAATTATGGTCCTGAAAACAAACAACGGATATATTTGTTTCAAATGTATTTTGTACCTATACGTACATTGCAAATGGAATAGGTAATAGTTGGTAAAATACACAACAAAAAATTTTCATTGCAAATCTGTAGTTATTACGAGTTAAAGGTTTAAATAGGTCCATAGCATATTAATGAATTCGGCCTAATATTGACAGATAAGCATTGGTATTCTAATTAAAAATAATATTTAACTTTAGCGTTTAGCTAACCTGTCTCCCTAGACTAATGACATTATTATTATAAAGGCTAGTTTAACCAAGGACCAAGGAATAGAAAATTCTAACTTCCTCTATGAGATTGAAATTGGAATATGTCAAAATTACGTCAAGCCCATACACTGAGTTCTTAATTTAAATAGCGTTTATTCCATTATTTTGTCTAAAAGCTGTGCCGAAAACGAAAAAGGTTTGGGCAACGAAGGTCTGTTTGCACGTGATTTTGGGACAAAAATCAGTCTAACTTAACACGGGTTTGACATGTTAAGATTGAAACAGAAACTACTAGGTGAGTGAATTGAGAATCTTATTAACTATTTGTGCAAAAAAAAAGAAAAACGTGCGCAATATAATATACAACTTTTTTTATGGAACAAGCTCGCCACAACTTCCTAAAACCGCTGCAACTTCTGTAAGCCAGGATCTACAGTGGATGGAACCATGGAAACTTCGGAACACTGAAGTCCGGTGCGTCCCAGGACATGCATGACTATCTGATAATAAGTCTATAACAAGTCTTGGATCCCGCAATTAAATAAATAAGAAGATTTTAGTTGAGGAGAAACAAAAACTAAATAGTTTCAACTTCCATCGGTAAAAAGGCACAGAAGAGACTGTAAAACTGGGAGAAGCCACCAAACACCAGGAAATATTCACTATTGTAATTGGGCCTATGTGTCTATAATATACAACCTATATGTATTTGGGAATCAATCTACATACATAAATACATAAGATATCTTCAGTTGTTCACTTAGGCAGAAAATAAGGACCTCGTATACAGCGAACTCAAGCCGCTAAATAATGTAGGTTTCTGAACCTTGTTCATTGTACTTACAGAATGACAGTGTCAAGTAACACGGCCATTTCTCAGGGGCGGCTTGTATTACATCTTGTACGGTCACAACTTTCCTTATACTCAGAACAAGTATTGAAAGTAACGCTAATATTACTTGGAAGTCTTGGAACGTTTGTTCGGTAAGTATTTGAGGAGGTATAGGAATTTTCGTTTTTAGTACCTATGTTGTCGTGGTGGCCCGGAGGTTAAGGAGCCCGCTTCTCGTGCATGAGGATGTGGGTTCGAAACCTGGCAAGTACCAATGTGACTTCTTCCGAGTTATATGTACTTTATATGATTATTTAGACACCACTGACAAACGGTGAAGGCAAACATCGTGAGGAAACCTGAACTTATAATATGTAATTGTAAGTTTGAAATCGCCAACCCGCATTGAGCAAGCGTGGTGATTAATGCTCAAACCTTCTCCGTGTGAGAAGAGGCCTTTGTTCAGCAGTGGGCACTTGTAGGCTGACGATGACGATGATGAGTACCTATTTTGGATTTTAGTATAGAAGTCGTCAGAGTATACCTTTAGACATATATCTCCTTGTCATGCGCCAATGTTCGTCCTAAGTGTTGCCACAGTTTAAAATAATCATTATCTTCCCTGCGTTGGGTAAAAAGGAGTGTCAAACTCTTACTGACTAAAACCACCCTGATACTTCTCCTGCTCTAGTCCAAGGCCGCGGAACCTTATTACGCTTGTCCCGCAACCTTAGATCATACCACTGTCAGCCGGGGTTGCGGGGTAAGCGCAATGGGCCTCCGCGACCTCGGCCCAAAGCAGGAGAAGGAACAGGTTTTTAGTCCGTAAGAGTCTGACACTCCCTCACGCCCGGCCCTGGGCGGGAGAAGTCATTTGATGATTTTCCCCTCACAAAAGAAAAAAAATAATACAAATGATAAAATATGGGGGAAATTTCGAGAATTTAAAGTAATTGATATTGGGATTTATTGATTTGTCCTGTCAGTAGGCCAGTTAATGAACTTGCTGACCTATGGGTAGCAATTATTGCTACTAATTAATGTAATTACTAGTTTAAATGCCTAATTGTCGTACAATAAAGATAAATATGAAGATAATATCACATAATTATCTGATTATGTAAAGGCGTTTTATGCTGTATACTGTAAACAAGATCCAGAAATGGAGAAACAAAACGTAGAATTAATTTTTTTCCAACTTATATACATTATGGAATCCAATAAACAATATGTATATATGAGTATGAATATCCCTAAATGATTGAACTAAAAATGATACTCGTATATACACTCCATCTACGACATAATGGGAAATTGACTACAAGGCAAAATGTTTTTTAAAGGAAAAGGCTGAATTATCCGAAAAAATCTTTTGAGTTTTTTGTGTGCCGTCCTTTATGCACCTCTACTGATGCTCCAGAATGCATCAAACTTCATCCATATTCAACGACACGCCCTTCTCTTCAAAAGATATTAGAAATTCTAAAATTGCAACTTTAATAAATCTTGAACTAACGTCGATAAAGACTACTATTTTTTTTAAAACCTAATTAGGCATTGTACCTACTGTTTATTCTGTTAAGAAGATTGATATTTAAGAAGATTTGTATTATTCTGTTTGGCTGGGTCTTTGTCTAACTAGCTTCTCCCACACGGTGTCATCCGCTACTTGGTAGGCTAATTCTTTTTTCATACTTTGCCTTACACTAGGATTTCATCCAGCGTCGTAGGTGACATAATTATCACACTCAGACCCGAAACAACAATTTGTCGATCATACAAGAATTGATACAGAGTGCAGGGCATTCCACAACTTATTGGGCATAGTGGACTTTATCTCCTATAGTTTAAATCAATAAATCGACTATCTAACACAAAAATGTTTTAATTGGAACTAGTAGTTCCAGAGATTAGTGCATTCAAACTTTTATTTTTTTATTAAAATTGCCAGTACCTATAATATTAATTTATAGCTAGTTTGTTTAAAAACAAGATGGAGATCGTTAACAGCACAGTAATAAAGCCGCTTACTAATATCCAACTTCGAAAATCACTCAACTACACCAGTACATAATGTTTTATATGTTTTTAATAAAATTAGGTAATTCAACTAGGTAAACAATATTTCAGTACACACGTACATATGTACTAAGATAAAACAATTAAACCATGCACTTGAAAGGAAGTACGATGTAGTTGAAATAACTACTGACGCGCCCCCAATCTCTTAATGGGTACTGATAAGTATAGCACAATTGAAAACGTGATGGCATCGTGCAGCTGTTTGGTGGGTAATAGGGTTGAACTGGTAGGTAACTGACTTTAAAAGCACGGATTTTTAAAGAAAAATCGATAAAGGGAGGAACGTGGCTTAAGTAAAGAAAACTGTACTTTCCACTAGTCAAATTCATCCAAATTGTATGAACCTCTAAATTATGACGTCATAGTATTTAATTAAGCATCAAATAGCTTATTATTTATAACCTAAATATTAGGCAAAAAGCAACGAAAATTTAGTATATCGACAGATCGATGAATAAAAGTATAGTTATTTTTCAATGTTTCATTGTATTGAAACGTCGAAATCGTTTATTTTTAACTTAGGAAACTGTCCAATCATTTAGGATACATACATACATACTTATATATATTCTATTATGTACATGTGTATGGGTTGTTGGTTCGACTTCCGTACGGAAAAAATCTTTGTGTGTTTCACAAACTTGTAACGGGACTAATCTTGATTGACATTTATTTAGAAAATTTACATAATTATAAATTACAGATTACGCCATTAAGTTATACTGTTAATTTTATACAAATACTATTATCTAGGTAGTTAAACAACTAATTAGGATTAATTAAATACAAAAACAAAATACAATCTTTAAAAAAATAAAATAAAAGGAATCGTGTGTTCGTAAGAGTTTTTGTAATTGGGTAGTTTCCTAGGTCAAAAATAAATTAATTCGATGTTTCAATACTATAAAATATTGAAAAATAACTATACTTCTATTCATCGATCGATCGATACACTAAGTTTTAGATTTTTTTAGCTAATTATTATGAAATAAGTAAGCTATTTGACGCAAAACAGTTATGACGTCATAGCTCAGTTTTTCATACAAATTTCATAGAAAAGTATTGAATTTGACTAGTTGGAAACTACAGTATTATGGAAACACAACCAGACAGACGACACAGAAGTTACTAAGATGGAGTGGTAAAACATATCAAATACTTATACTAGGTTTTAATGAAAAAATAAAACCTAGTACAAAAGATAATGTACTAAGTAAATGCAATATATCTGCACACTTGCACTCCAATATGCACTAGTAGCAACTATAGACAGGCCTCCAACCTCACGATAAAAGCTGATAACACAATAGATAACCTGATTGCATCGTGCTAGTGTTTCTTGATAACGGGATGACGTGCACTCGTGCACTGAGTGACTATAGGTCCGGGATTGTATGAGAACTAAATACTTGGATAGACAAATGAATATTTTAACATGTTGAGTGTGGGAGACACCACTGCCTCACAGAAAACCGGTGTGAAACAACTACAGCGTTTTATTTCGCCGTGTGAGTGAAAGGTTACCGGACGAAGGCTCAAATCTTGCCGGCGTCCATCCCTAAATCCCCAAAAGAAGGGCAACACACTCGCAACTCTTCCGTTGTTGCGAGTATCTATGGGCGGCGCTGATAGCTTAACATTCCTATCACATTAAGAAAATATTGTTCTTTTTATTATAGATACGCGGGCGGACCCCGACTTCAAAACTAAACTAAAAAGCAGCCTATGTGTTAATCCAGGTTATCTTCTATATACAAACCAAGTCGGTCCAGCAGTTTTTACTTGAAAAAAAATCAAACACACCTACGTATTCTCACAAACTTTCACATTTATAATGCGGGACAAACGCGCCATGGTACCGCGGCCTGGCCCTGGAGCAGGAGAAGGAACAGCGGGGCTTTTATTCAGTAAGAGACTGACACCCTTCTCTTCATATCCTGGGCGAGAGCAGACATTTTATTTTTCACTGACAAGTTTTCGTAACAAAATGGATCTGTCATCGTCAACCTCGTCGACTACCGAGCAAACAGTCTCAAGTCGTGTCGATCAAAGTATAATTGGGGATTTGTCAGTTAAATTGTCAGCTAAAGTGTCTCAACATGCATTCTTTTTTTCAAATTCTTTTTTTTTCAAATTCTTTATTTGCATGTTAAGGTGGGTACAAGGATCTTAAATTTAAATAACAGGCATAGCTTAACGGCCTTTTTCAGGCGTTGCAAAGAGGGCTATAGCTTATAAAATAATATAAAATTACTTAATTTACATTACATTGCATAAAAGAGAAAAAAATAAACAAAATAGTTCATAATTAGATAAAAAAAATAAAAATTAAAAAACGTTGTTATTGAGTGAGTTAGTAGGTAGGTGTTTATGTGTATATGAGGTGGGTTTTTACATTAATGTTGGTGTTCTATTTTCCTTCGAAGAATTCTTTGGTTGAGTAGAAACATTTTTGTATTAAGAACATTCTCAATATGTGCAATGTGCCCCTTATAAAACCGCACTATTCTTCTTTTTTTAAAACAACAAACAATTTCACATACATCACACAGACCCAGAACAACAATCTTAGAAGCACACAAAGAGTTGTTCCGTGCTGGAACCTACCTACTTCACGTTGGACTGGAGTCAGTTACCTAGCCAACACGTCTACTATGCAGTTAAGTACTATTACTGGGAACAATGTATGAGGAAGGTAATGGACTATAATAAAAACGTTACTACATAGAAGCACTTAAAGACGACAAGAGGAAATGCTGTAATCAATAAATCTTACTACTTTGTCATCATCATCATCAGCCTATAAGTGCCCACTGCTGAGCAAAGGGCTCTTCTCACCCGGAGAAAGTTTGAGCATTAATCACCACGCTTGCTCAAAGCGAGTTAGCGATTTCAAACTTATATTTAGAAATTATAAATCCAGGTTTCCTCACGATGTTTACCTTCATCGTATGTCAGTGGTGTCTAAATAGTCATAGAAAGTACATATAACTCGGAAAAAGTCACATTGGTACTTGCCAGTTTTCGATCCCGCACCCTCATGCATGAGAAGCGGGCTCCTTAACCTCCGGGTCACCACGACATAATCATCAGTTAATCTGTATACTAGTTTCCCAGCGGGTCACTAAAAAAAGGAAATTAAAAAAATGAAAACAAATATGGTTACAATTTAGGGTTGATAAATAATCATTAAATGTGTACTTATAGCTTTATAATATCTACGTATAAAGGTATATGAACTACAGTATCAAGTATCGCGAGGGTCCGCGCGTGACTTCTACACAGGGTTGCCATCAATCAGGATTTTATCTGACACTTTTTAATTTTGTAATCAGACCACACTATTATTAATGTCAAACTTTTTAATTATTCATTATTAAAAAGTTTGGTATTTTCGTATTCTGTGTTATTGAACTTCTGATTATTTTTTGTTTCTAATCGGAAAGTAGGTTTTTCTAATTTATTTGTTTTGAATATAGCGTGCAGGATAATTACAGTGTTCCATTTTCAAATCCTTATTAAATACGTATATCAATTTTGCTTTAGAAATTATTAATCTTCTACTTATCAAAATACAAAAAAAAGATTATACAATTTTGTTTTTATTATTAATTAAAAAGTTTTATTTGTTTCTATCTATCATCTACGGCATATTTAAGATGGCTTCCATTTTTCCAAATATCAAAGAAATGGCAGTTCGCAATCTTCATTACAGTAAAATAAACATCCAACGTCAAGTCTTAAATAAACACACATAAAATTCAAAATATCTTGAAGAGTCTCTTTACTTATTTATATTACGAACTTGTCTTAAAGAAAGTTATTTTCAGTCTCTTCAAACAACTTGACTGGTACTTAATTGTGTGAGACTTGAAACATCAAGTCCCTCAAATTTGAACAGGTTTTAAAAGACCACTATTATACGACATCAGTATAACATAAATATACCGATCTTAATTAATTTTTAACTTTGTAACAACAACATTGAGTTGAAATTCAAATAAAGAAATTTTATAGGTGAGGATAGTTAGTTCCGCTGGGGCAATTTATATGGCTTCTCTCGCCCAAGATGAGGCTAGAGGGAGTGTCAGACTCCTACTGACTCAAAACTACCTCGTTTCTTCTTCTGCTCCACACCGCAGCCGCGGTACCTTACTCCGAAATCCCGCTGGCGAATTTATCAATTAATATTGATTACTAATTATTGTAATTTTCTTGTAATACCTAATTAAGCTTTAAACACAATTACATTGACATTTTATTATTAAAATCGGAAGCTATTTTAAATATAATATATTGTACTTAAACCTTCATTATAATAGTAAATAACATTTCAAATACATACTCAAATAATAAAATTATGATTACAAATAATAAATAATTTAATAAGTAGTTTCAAATGACCAAAATAACTACATTAAAATTACAAGAAAATTGTTTAGCTTTATCATTACTTTCAATTTAATTAGTTAATTACTAACACCCTTTAAAATTAAAACATAACGGCATATCAGTAACAATGCACTCAGTTACTTAATATTATAGTTAGTTGTATTACAAAACATGTTTTAACCGCTGCCGAGTAAACGGTGACTATCAGCGAGTTATCTCGGGTACTTTACAAACAAGGCAACACGAGTATGCGACCAATAGGCGCATCTACTTTAATTTATCGAGGAACCGATTCCTACGCTCAGTCCCACTACGGTCACTGCCGCGATCGCCACGACGAAACATTTCTACGGCTTCCGCCATATTAGTAGACACACACCAGCACAGTGCTTCTAAAATGCATCAAAATGGTGATATTTAAACTGGAAAATTGTCGCCGCGATACTAAAGTGACGGAAATATTCGCGCTTTTCGTTGAACCTAATCACCCAAAGAGGTTTTTTAAATACAGTTGACCATAAACCCGAGTGTTCCGGGATTATCGGTTTGTGTTCTGGAACTCGTTGGACTACCTACAAACCAACTAGGTAAAGCGACCGCGCCAGAGTAACGTATTGGTGTTCTCTATTCGAATTTAAAATTTAAATTGTGTTCGAAATTGACTATGGATATTTGATTGTATAAAAAAAAACTTTATTGGTTGCGTGAGTGAAATTAAAAATTGATCATTTGACATTGGAATCTCGAAAAATGGAGAAGCAAGCTGGGAATAAGTATAAGCGAATTTATTCCTACGGGAGTATGAGTTCAAGGAGTGACGATGACATGGTGGTACACAGTCAGCTGTTCCCGTACCATAAGAAAATGGTTGTAGAAAGGGAGATTCTGTATGAGGAAGAACATCCCCCCTTTCAACCCTTGATTGCCACAACCAGATTATTCGGGAAAGCGAGGTTCACGTGTTTATTGTTGTTCTACGTGGTCTTTTACATGGTCTACTTGGCGTCAGGAGCGCTGGTCTTTTCCGCATTGGAAGCTCCTATGGAAAACCAAATACGACTTGAATTGATACGCGCTAAGCAAGATTTTTTGACACGATATCCGGATATTATAGGTAAATATTTTATGCATTTTTTCACCGACTATTATTTTTTGTTTAAAAAAAACATTGGTGTTGGCATCACACATACATACCTACTACCTACTTCGCGTTTTTATATCGTCTGGCCATAATTAGGTACATTGAAATGTCACTGGCCGACTACAATTACGCCAAAACAAAAAAAGGTTTTATTTCGTAACCGTTGTTATAATCTGTGAATCTTTCCAACCAACTTATTTCTTATAGGGCGATCTTTTCTTATCTGGTTTATCTAGTGGAAAATGAAAGTGTCCTACAATATATTCTATTATTTATTCCCTAAGAAAAGGTTTGTAAGACGTCTACTAAAAATATTTTAATGTGTCTACGTGTTCTAAAGTCAAATAATCTAGTACTGCGATTTAAAAAAGAAAATCAGAAACTACACAACATTACTCAGAACAGAATTTTTACAAAACTTTATACCTACTATATTATAAACTCCAGAACTTTGTTATAACAGCTATTAAACCCAAACTAGTAATAAAGCTTGTTGTAAATAAGCAAATAATACCAACATATTCCTTGCAATATACTCCCAAAGCTAGCTATGTAGCTGAAATAACCAGTATTGTGCTTGCAGCTGGTAAATATTTGAAATGTCTGCAATACAGAGCAGTAGCTACTTCTTAGTTTCATCGATTTCGCTGTAATACCTACTACATAGGAAGGGTCTGTTCCAATACTAAATTATTTATTATTTTTTAATTAAAAAGTTTTGTGTTTAAGCGACTTCTAGAAAAAGGTTCAAAATCTCTCTGAATTTAATTCACCAAGAGAAATGGAACTACTTATTTAGTTTTTTTCTTCTTCTCTAATAATATCTTCATATTTATTTAGTTGCGGGATCCAAGACAGTCATTCATGTCTCTGGGACTAGTCGGATACCAGTGATTCGGTGTTTTCATGGTTGTATCTAATGTAGGTGTTGCATGGCTAACAACCTTTTTGGGAGGATGTAAAATTAAGTACTTATGTGATACACATATACCTACTTAATTTCTAAATCTGAATGTTGTTTAGGTACCTACTAGTCCAATGCCATATATGCTTATGTTCTATTAGGTACTTAGCAGGCGCAAGAAAAAACACGACGGATCTCTGATTTTTTAGCGATAAAAGCCAAGTATTGTGTCGAAAATCATTGAGTTACTTATCTAGAAAAATAATATAGGTTAAGAAATGGAATACATTTCTATGACGTAAATTAAAAAAGGCGTTAATTTTGGTAAATAACTGCCGTATAAAAATAACCGCCATCAGAATGAAACCGAATCATATTCTATCTAACATACTTATGTAAATCAAGCTATTTACATTTAAAACATAAATATCAACAAGATAAAACTTACCTTATACCTATCAATATTATATAGCTAATTTTTTATCTTACACATAGTCAATAGAATAAATGAACTCCCCATATTGTAAGGATTTAGTATCTAACCTATTAAATTACAAATGTTATCTATCACATTCGATATCACGGAATTAAAAATTATCAGACGAGAAATCAATTGTATCTTTTGTGATATCTTAATTATTCTAATTTACATTCTAATAATTATTATGCACTAGCTTTGCACCTAAGTCTTACCGGTTTTCGCAGAAATCTCGAAGGTTTCTTTCTTGAGGTCTATCTAGTATTCGGTAGACAAAAACTACTAACGTTTTTCTTGAAAAAACAAAAAGTGTCTTTAAAACCTAGGTAAGTACTTAAGTAGTACTCACAAGTTTTGTATTTAATCAAAACTTCTATATAAGAAATCGCGCTGTTCAAGAACTTTTCTATTTGTGTCTTAAAACATTCTATATACCTACATATGTTAGAATTTACTTAGAACTCACATCTTATTTATGATAGAATCTTTCATGTCGGTCCAGCAGTTTTCGAGCCAGTAGAATGCAAACAAACTAACAAGTAGATCTTTCTGTTTTAGTTAGTGTTTATATCTAAATATAAATATTATTTAATAGAATAGACACGAGTAATTCCAAAAAGATAAGCTTAAAAAATACTTGAGAGTTTTTATAGCAATATACTAGTTGTAATTTGATATTTACACTGGCAGCAGAGTAGGTCAGGTTATCTATATCTATACAGATAATTAGTTATTTAGATAATTAGTCGACTATCACAATATCTACATATGTTGTTATTCCAACACTAACGACCAAAGACAAGAGTAAACTAAAAAATGTTTTTAAATATGTCAAGTAAAGAATGTACTACAACTTTCATTCATACATTCTATTTTTGAATTATTTTTTTTAATATTTTGATAGACACAGGAATTATTCAAAACATTCGATTTTTTTTAATATTTCGAATTCGTAATTCCTAAATGCGTAAATATGTAATTCAGTATGATCACAGGGTATGATTGACAGACATACGTTTCTATTTGTTTTTACTATCAAAACAACAAAATTAGAAATTCATTAAATTAATTTTGTAGCTCATTAGTGGTCAAAAATTAAAGATACCTACTGCATTTATATTATGCAGTCATTAAATCAATAATATGATAACATAGAAACTAGTTTTAGCTAATTATTTTGATTAGTGCATTTATCAAACACGAGTTCTTGAAATATAGGTAGGGTAAACCTGGCAAATGTGCCCCACAATTCGAAAAATTGAAATAAAAAACGGTGTTATTTAAAACATGTTTATTAAAGTAACTAATCTTAATCTCTGACTCAATAGGTATAACAAAAACAAAGAAAAAACGTGTCAAAAGTGTTTAAAATAGCTGAGATCAACGATTTCTTAAAGTCTATGGTAGGGCACATTACACGGATATATCAGTCATATGTGCCCCAATAAATTTTATAGGAAAATCCGAAGGATGTCCTAATTCCGAAGGTCTACCTATATTTTGCTTGCTATCCCAGCCTTTCAGGATGGGTCTATGATCTCATTAAATTCTTGATGTTATTTCATATATGCGGCTAGCTTCATTAACTCCCATTTTCTTGGTTATGACATTTTTTATAACTTTTTTTATATTTTCTCTTGTCTATCTTTTTGGGTCCGTAGCTTTTTCCTACCCCGTTCATAAAAATAAAAAAAAACTGTCAAAAAAGCTTTAAAATAAAAATATAAAACTAATACAGATGTGGGGCACATTATCCAAAAGGAATCGGGGCGCATTAGCCAAAGTTTAGTATATTGTGCCTCACTTGATTTCAAAAAAATGTTTAAGAAACTAGAAAAGCAATTGTAGTTACACAATAGTTTAATGAGGTTACCTTTATAATAAAACTTTAAAAACGGAAAAAAACATGAAGCAAACGTTTTAACTCAAAGTTGCAACAGACACAAAACATTTTCAGACTACGATACATACCTTGTGACCACTTTTTCTTCGTAAAAACAAATAAGTAACAGCACTGAATTTTTTACATCAACGACATGCTTCTGCCACTAACCTACACGGACAAAATTACCGCCAAATTCAAAATGCATCTGTCAATTCTGCGAGTGGGGCACATTATCGACTGGGGCACGTATGCCTGATTTACCCTACCTAGTATTGTATAGTATATATAGTTATTGTATAGTACCTATATGTATGCATAAATTATGTAATCATATATTATTATATAATACAATGCAAAAAAAACACACGTTTTGTTGCATTATCTTGTTTTCATAATGATTTTCATCGTCTTAGTTTATTTCGTCAATAAAGTACTAATAATATCTATTATAAAAAAAAATATGAACATGAATCCCAATTTCCTTTGGATATTTTGGCTTACCTAACTCTAGGGAACGACTAGACCGATTACGATAATTATTTTTATACTGTGAATGATATGTTCTAGAGAAGGTTTTAATAAAAGAACATTTTAGAAAAGAAGAGATGTACGACACATAACTATCGAATTACTGCGTCGGATTGAATAATCCTTTTTTTGTCGAATTCTTCATCGGGATTATCGGAAAATAGCAAACAAGCGAACCTGGAATAGGGCACCAGTTAAACATAATATTATAGGCACTGACATATTATGTACATTACATAGGAACATTATTAAATAATTATTTAAATAAAATAGTCTTCTAACTAAAATATCTTCCAAAATCGTTTGTCTAAAAGATTTCAATCCAATGGAAAAGTATAAAAAAACAACAAAAAACAAAACAGGTTTTATTAATGAGGTTGTAGGCCTCTCAACTATTTGTAACATTCTTATAGTTGATGGAGGCGAGACGAGTAAACAAACTGGTTTTGACCAAGGTAACCAAATTGTGGGTATTGTGCAATCGCGGTTACTATAGAGATAGGAATGATAGACTTGGATTGGCCCGATTTGGATTTGGACAAGGAACGTTTAAGTGTGGGAGAGCTATGCTTTGGCACGAATGGGTCGGCTCGACACGGCCTCACAGAAAACCGGCGTGTAACAACCACAGCGTTGTGTTTCGCCGTGTGAGTGAGGTTACCGGAGGCCCAATCCTTCCCCTCCCCCAATCCCTCCTTAATCCCTAAATCTCTAACGCACTCGTAACTCCTCCGTTGCGGGTGTCCATGGGCGGCGCTGATTGCTTACCATCAGGTAAGCCGTGTGCTCGTTTGCCGACCTATTACATAAAAAAAAAACAGAAAAACGGGTTGGGTTTTAATCAGTAAGTCTAACACTCCATCCTATCTCCGTGGGCGAAGTCTTTTGACCTAGTAGTCTACCATCAAAAGGTACCCATTATTGGCAGTATCTATCTACATAATGAACTGTCACTAAGTGTGAGGTGTAAGCCAAGCCACATAATAAGTTTACAGAAAAAATTTGAATTTGGAAGCCTGTTCTCAAAATCTTTAAAAAGTTGTAGATTACCTATCTGTTTTTCTTATAATTTGCTAACGCAAGCACGCAATCGAACGATACTATTTTTTTCTTTTTTATAAAACTTTTCTTCAGAATAAGGGAGACAAACAAAAAAGTTCAATTTTGTTCAACATTAT